CTAACTAATCTTCAACCTACTAACTATTTAGACAAGAAAATAAACTAAAAGGCTTTTATAAAAGCCATGTTTAAATATCTTGAATTATTATTGAATCAAGATAATTACATATTAATTAGAAATTTAATTTTAATTATATTTTTACTATATAATTGTATTACATTACAATACCGTCGTATTTATAAAAGCAAAACTTTCTCGATTTGATTGTGAGATCAATCTACTTGCCTACTTTGACTACACAACTTCTTATAGTAGATTTTAAATTTTTTTAATAAGTGTAGGATTAGTGTTTCCATTATTGATATTAGTGGTGTATGAAATTTCTACTCTAAGAGTGTTGACAAGTTCATGAAGATCTGCAATAGTTGCAAAATTATTCTCACATCTATTAAGTATAGCATCCATGATTTTTTCTTCTATTTTAAACAACTTAATAAATCCATAAGTCAAATTAGAAGAGGATAATCTGCAACCTTTAATATCATGTAAAAATTTCTACAAAGAGGGATAATCTACTCTCTTCAAGAAAAAAAATAGTGTTAAAAAATTAAATAGTTTGTTTAAAGGTGGATAATTTGCAACCTTCAAAATACAACAATAGAAGTGAGGTAATTCATTCATTTCTAAAATAAGATGAAAAAAATAAGTTAGCACTATTATCAAATTGTCAAGGATATGAATCTTGAAGAAAGAAATCCTCCATACACTCTTATGTCACTCAAAAGAACTAAAAAGTCATTCAAAGATGATATAGTATTGAACTAGAATGGCTATTGCCAAAGATAAGAAGACTAGAAAGTCTTGAAATAAGACTAAGAACTAAAAAGACATTGATAAGAGTGAAAAAGGCTTCATTTTTTACTTATATATATTCTTAACTAGGAGATACATGGCAATGTCTTATAGGACCTCCAAAACATGTTGACTTTATAAGACACATATTTTAACTTACAAAATAAGTTTTTTATAGGTGTACCACATAGTTAGCATTTTCTACAAGCTACCAACACATGATTTATTTGTTTACAAAGTTTCTAACCTACCAATCAATTATAAACACACATAAAGTCAAATTAGTATCTCTGAAATAAATATATTTTTATATATTTTTACTTAATTATATAGATAAATATTAGAATAAGTATGTATTTGTGTGATAAATATATTTCAATCTAAGTCTTCTTTAATCATAATTTTTTTTATTTTTTTATTATTGTTTACTTTTTTTAAAAAAAATAGTATTTTTTTTCTTGTTGATATATCCATTGTCTTGTAAGGCTCAAAAAGTTATACATGGAATATGAAATAAATTTTCATAGATTTTGATAAATTTAATTGATAAGCAATATAATTGATATGTTTATAAATAAAAAATGATTAAAATCTATAATAATCTAATTTGTCATGAGAACATCTAATCTTGATATTAAGAGAAGGTAATCATATCTTATGACAAACATGAAATTGAAATTATTCCTTGTAATTCTCATGTTTATTTATTATTTTATTGTTCTTTAGCTTCTTTTAATTAAATCTTTATTATTACATATAGCTCTAATATATATTTTTTCAAATATTTTGCCATAAATACATAATGACCATGTAATAAGGTGGTCTTTTTGCCTTGATATGGAACATTATTGATGGCTGAAAGAACTTATCAAGTATCTTCAAAGAGAACAAAGATTGTAGTATTGTTTAAGACATGAATCTTAGAGAATTAAAAGGTAAATATATTCTTATGTCACTCATAAAGATTTGAGAATCATTAAAAGATGGCATAATTTAAAACTATAATGACTATTGCCAATGACAAAAAGACTAAAAAGTCTTGAAATAAGATTAAGGACTAAAAAAAAATTGAAAAGAATAAAAAAGGTTTCATACTTATCTCTATATATATTATCTAACTAAAAGTTACTTAACAACATTCTATAAGACCTCCAATACATGTCCAATTTGTGAGACATGAGTCTTAATTTGCAAGGTAAGTTTCTTATATGCATGCCACATCATTAGCTTGTACCACAAGCTATCTACATGTACAACACATGGCTAATTTTTTGGCCAAGTTTTTAACCTATCAATCAACTATAAACATATATAAAATCAAATATGAGTCTATAAAGCTTCTAAGAAGCTTTGCTACAAGATAATAAGAAATCTACTTACATTTTATCTTCTAACTAGTACTTCTTCTTTAGGTAAATATATATGTCTATGATAAATATGTAATAAATATAATTTGTTGTATCTTATACTCCTTCAATATATAATCATTATTCTCAATGGAACTTGTCTTTAGAAGAAAAAGTTGAAGATAATATCATAGACATGCCTATTCACATAGATTAAAGGATTTAAATAGAAGTAAGTGGATGTAAGTAAATTTGATAATTTCTTTCAAAAAATATTTTTATAAGCTTTGTAAACATGGATTTGATTTTATATATACTTATAGGTGATTAATAGGTTAAAAAAATGGCCAATAAATTGGCCTTATATTGCATATATTGGTGACTAATTTTGCAAGTTGGACAAGTGTTTTCTAAGTTGGACATATATTGGAAGTTCTATAGAACATTGTAGCATAGCTTATAATTAGTTAGTATATATTAAAGCAAGAATAAGACCGTCTTCTTTCTTGTCAAGGCCTTTTTATTTTTAGTCTTATTTCAAGAATCTCTAGTCTTCTTGTATTTAGTAATAGTCATTCCAATCTTAATAATTTACCATTTTTGAGTGAATTTCTACTCTCTTCTAATGATACAAAAATACATTGATTTCTAAGGTCTTTATGATTTAGATCTTTAAAAGATAGTGATGTGTATTTAGGCTTAATTGTATTGGAAGAGCTTGCTTTCTCTATTGGATGTTTTGAATGTCCTAATAGTATTCTTACTTATTCATTGTTGTGATGTAATTCAGTCTCTTCAATCTATAAGATTAGCTGCAACATGAGCCTCCATTAAGGTAGTATTTGCACAAATATCTTTAAAATGATCTTGCTTTAAGTAATAGTTGTTTCATAAACTAGCGGTATAAATATTTGAAGTTAAGAGATATGTAAAGATTTGTTAAAATTACTCTTTCAATTTCCTAATCAATAAAGTGATCAATTATTTTAGACATGAGATAAAGAACCAATGAGAATTAAAAGTTCCTGAAAGTAGATGAAATCGTTTCAAATTCCCAATTATTCATCCAAATTTCGACAATGCATCCACAAGGAACGATACTGTTCCTTCAACATAATCATCATTCATGGAGACAAATCATCCGCTCAACGGCGCCATCCATCCACCCAAGCAGAAACTCACATAGATTCTCCGCCCACACATTCACAACCCGGTGCTGTCCCGCACTAGGAACTTCGTGGAAGCTGTTCTGCACCATTAACCCACTCATGTGGACGTCAGCGAATTAGTGTCGAAGATACCCCGTCCTCGAACACGCTTAGCCACGGGCTCGTGGCCGAGATCGCTATCCTCACCGCAATCCATGCAATCAGCTCCGGAGCGTCCCGCATTGGATTGCATCCCCCCGCCCCTGGGGCTTGGAATTGGTCGCTGCGTTGCGACTTACAGGAAGACGCTGTTGGTCCAGTTGAATGCAGTTGGAGCAAAAGATTCCGGAGATGGCTGGTTGTCCTTTCGGAAGGAAGCTTAGCCTCCATCGCCGAAAGGAGCGAGAGCCTGTCGCAATAGTTGGCTCCACCGTGCCACAGACGCCGCTCTTGCCCTGGCCTATCGAGATGTGTTGGCGTACACCCGCTTGGAGCTGGGATTGTGATAAACTCAAACTGTATCACGTAGGGTTTCATGGCATCGGTCCAGTGATGCGCGGCCTTGGAGTCATGGCGACGCTCTCCTGAGCTCAACTGCGGATAAAACTAAAGTAGCGTGTGCTAGTTGGAGAGCCTGTGGATTTCCGTTTTACATATCCGAAGGAAAGTCGGTTCACGGTTGGCGAATAAGCCATGAGATCTCCTTCACTCTCAATCAAACACTGCTATTTACTAGTTGTGAGAACCTAGAAGCTCTTTCCTTCCTTCCCTTCTTGCTTGCTTTTCCTTGAGTGTGAAGTACACAAAGCGTCTCTCTGTGTGTGGTAGGCAACCACCACGTCCACCTGGATGCGAGGTGGAGCACTCAAATACAGATGCTTAAGAGCTCGAAAGAGAGAGGGATTGAGAGTAAGGAAGCAACAAAGAGCAGGCCATCCTCGACAACCATCCATGTTGCCTTCCGAGATTCGAGGTAGTTCGGATATTCTCGCCAAGGGAATTTTCTCTCGAAATGGGCAGTTCGGGAAGGCGGGTGTGAAACTGGTTAACAGCTGATGCAATTGGAAAAGGACCAATGAGACGTGGAGCTATGAGAATGGTTCAAAGATTGTCCTCCTGACTGCCTGGTTGGCTGAAAGTGTGTGTGAGAGAGAGCGAGTGAATGAGAATTCAACAAGTGCCATGATAAATTCTTTGAAAAATGTTCTCCAGACTGTGACCTTTTCATTTCTGATTTCTTTAAAAAAAAACCCTGGAAAACATTAATAGCTGTTAGTGGGTTAAAAACTTTTGAGTATGGAAGGTCTCCGTCGCTTAGTTGTCACATCCAATCAACAAGGCGGAAGTCGAAGTCTCTATGATTGTTGAGGAAACTTTCTACATGCACAGTGAATTCCTTTAGGGTATCTAATTTTCATCCAACAATGCAACCACTGTCGTTTAAGTTACTGGAAAACTACCAGAAGAACGGCATGCGAAATTTCAAGCTGCAGAGAATCAATACTCGTTGATAGTGGCATCTACGGCAATTTGCAACAAGAATCGATAAAGAAGTTTTATTGAAAAATAATCAAACAGCGATGAGAATGAGACTGTGGAAACTAATCAACTGACTTAGCGTTCTACTTGTGAAACCTCACTTGTCCTTTTCGAACCACGCGCAGTGACGCGAGTGGCGCACTCACCGCTAAATTCGCGAGGTGGGTTCAGTCTCACAAGCCGCGTCGGACGTTGAGCCCTGATTGTCGGGCTGAGTGGTTTCCTGGACATGGTCGTCGTCGTCGTCGTCGTTGGTGCGAGTTCCCAAATTAGAGAGCTTCACGATCAGTAGATCGGTAGAGCGCCTTTTGTTGCACTACCGTTTGGGATATATAAGGTCGTTCCAAAGTCATTTGTGTTTGTCATTGAAGCTTGTGGTTATGAGAAGCGTACAAGGTGCTTGAGAGAGGACCCGCAACGTGCTTGATCGGTTAAATTGTTTTTGAGGTCTTTGAGTTGTAGAGGTTGTAATTTTGAGCGCAGGAATTGAGTATCAGTATCAAGGAGGGAAGGGAGAGGGAGGAGGGGGAGTTTGAGGCTTATATACGCAGGTTGTGAATGGGAGGAGGGGCAGGGGTGCGGGTTGTCCATGGAACCATCGCTGCTGCTGCGGCGTTGCTGGCGACGGCAGCATCTACCGTTGACATTGGGGACAAGTTGCATCTGAAGGTTACGCCGATTCTCTTCTACGCGGTGCCAATTTCAATACCTCTGCCACCACTCTCGTCGCTCTCTGGTGCTTGTGGTTGCACGGATCGTTCATCCTTTTCGGTATCGTATTCGAGAATTTTGCCGTCGAAGGAGTGTGAAGCTTCGTCCTTTGCATCTGCTTCTTCTTCCATCTCTCCTCCTGGTGCAACTGCGGGGAAAGGGCAAAATTTTCAGGGGTGGAGGCCCTACATGTCTGTTCTTCAACTGTATACGGAGCCACCTCTGACACCTACGAAGCTCAGTACTTGCGTTGCCAAGGTGCAATGTTCAATTCATTTGGAACCACTCGTTTCAACACTCTCGTCTTTTCAATATTCGCTACAGAATCATTCTTCCCAACACTCGCAAACTCTCCGTACGAGGCACGTCGCAATCGAGGGGAATTTCAAACTAGATAGCAATGATGATGGTAATGTTTCTCTTGTGAAGATAAAGTTCCTTACTGCAGTTCTTCTGAGGTGGTCGGGCGCGCAGCAGAAGTATGTGGTGTGGTATATAGAGAGCTTAAGTTAAGTTGTAGATATTGTATTAGTTTCAATTTTTTTGATATATCGTCTTTAACTCATACAGATTTGGAGCCACTATCAAGCAAATTTGAGTGCAAGGAGGAGTTATCGAGGAGAGAATGAAGGTTGTGTTTCAGTCTCTGCACCAGTCCTTGATCTTGAGCCTCAGGTAGTTTCTTCCGAGGTTACAACCTACAAACGGCCGTTCATACCTCTCTTCCGAAGCCACTCGTACTTGTACAATGAGCAGCTGAGTAATTTCCATGAGGAGGTCTTGCCATCAACACATGCACACGCAATTGCTCATTAAATTTCTCCGTTGCTAGTTTTAAAATCTCTCACGGAAGTCTGCGCACCTGAGCCAAGGTGTTGGGTTGCTGATGGGAAGTGAAGTGGAACTATAGCACGCATAGGGCCTGCTTCTCCGAGTCAGTTCACTTTTGATACGTCTGCAGGTGTAGATTGAAGTAAGCTTTTATCTCACTTTACAAATGAAGCCAGTAGAGTTCACTTTTAAAGTTTTGTTAATAGTTTTTTCCCAACGTGTTTGTGCCTTGGCTTTTAGTCCACATGAAGTAGGCTGGATCAGCCTGAATAATGCACGATGCGGACGATGGAATTACTTTCTCTACCTTGAGAAAAGTTAAAGTTTAAGGTAAAGCAATAGGCAGCTACTGAAGACTTAGTCACAATGCAGAAATTTTGACGCTGAGTTCTTACATTGAAGGTTAGAGAACGATAGTACGGTAGTCCCACTTGCATGTTAGTGTACTTTATGCGAAAATGTAAGGAAAGAGTGTAGATATGTGCAACTGGGGCATTCTAGGCATTCATGATTCATTTGAAGTCATGGCATTGATGTATTTACGATTTCCGTTACTCTATTGAGTGCGGCAACACTGGATAATGAAGAAACTGATTCGCAATATTGCAAGATGTTATTTCGAATCATTTCACACGATTTTTGCAGTGATAGGTATTCTGCAATAGAATGGACTCTACTTGCTAATTTTCTTAAATAGAGGAACTAAATACAAGCGCACACCCTCAACCCGTAAATAAATCTAAAAATAACAAAACACACAGGTAATGTGGCGATTTAATCTCCTAACATTTAGACAATAATCCAATCTTCTCCAAAACCCAGCCTCCAACCAATGCATGCCCAGAGTTGACGATTTTCATAGAGCATTTTTGCCCCAAATCGTTGTTACGCTGAAATAATCGAAGGAAGGATTCAGCGATTAGAAAAAGCCGAGGTTTAAGTGAGAGCCTGGTTTGGTCAAGAACGATGTCCTCTCCAAGTGGGGCATTTACTTCGCGGAGCTCTTGCAGTTGAATTTGGAGCTATGGAGGCTTTGGCAATCGTGCAGCCTCAAGGTAAGTCGATTCTCCAAGGCCGGGCATACTCTCCACCTCTTTCTCCAAGAGTGAGCTCTATTTCGCACGTCTGCGAAGGTCGTCGAATTCATTTAAAGCATGGCGTGTTTGGAGTGCCTTCCCGCTTAACTGTCCGTGGAGCAGGATTGGTGCGGTCCGCTGTGGAGGGAAACTCATCCTCTACGGTAAGAAGTGCCTCCTACTGCATTTATCTCTCGAAATGTTCCTAATTGTAGCGGAATCTCGTGTCTGTGGGGATGAAGAAGACACATATCTCCAGTGTACAGTGTGTTTTTTTTTTCTTCTTTTTTTTCTTTTTTTTCTTTTTGGTGGTATTGATGGTTCGTAGTCTTGTGAACCGTGTATATTGGAATTTCATTTTTCTGTGGTGGATTGTGATGAGGCAGAGCCAACTTTGCGATTTTCCTTCAAATTGAAGTAAATAGCTTTCTTTTGTTGAATTCGATTCTACCTTGTGCAGTGGCTATGGTTAGATTGACATGTGGTAAAAATTGTGCACCATGAAGCTCTGGAGGATTGAATCTTGTGAATTCTAAGCTGAAAGCGAGTGTGGGTTTTCAACGAATCATGGAGGATTTCTTGAATTCGTAATGTTTATGTTTAACCACATTTTTCGGCGGTTGTTCCCTCCGGAGCTCATCGTTATGTATTATGTCTTCTGTTCAGGTTCCAACTGAAGCACAAGACCTTGTTCCATATGTCCCAGGGCCGTTGGACGATATTTTCTTAAAGATTTTCAGGAGTAAAATGGCTGAGGTGAGTGTTGGCTAAACCTAAACCTAAAGATTAAAATTCTAAACCGAGCACCACCACTCGGAGATGAAGAGGTTTCGTGCTGACATACAAGCGCACTGTGGATATCTACTTGACTCAGAATATACATTGGTGCAGGAAGTCGGCTGGGATTCTCCAAAACCTGGTTACGATGGGCTGGTCGACATAGCAAAGAAGCTCCTCTTGCAGTACCGCTCTGGTGAAGAAACTGAGCGAGCTACGGTACTCTTGTGTCACCTTTGGCAACTGAATCGTGTTTTCGCCAATACTTTCATTCAGGGCTAACGCGGATTCCATAAAAAAGTTCATAGACAATCCCATAAAGAAGTTGATAAGAATTTTCTTGTTGATCGTGTATTCTGGTATCAAAGCATTCTTGACGATTCCAACTTCCACCTATTTGTTTGCAGGTCAGAGTGTTGAGGTCATTGTTCCCATCGTGGTTGTTGCCGTTGTTCAAACAAATCGTAGCTCCATTCGGTGATGGCAAGCCGGCTGCAATGCTGTGTGGTAATTTTTAAGCAATCAATCTATTTCATGTCATTGGTCCCTCTATTATCAACAGCAAGTCATCAAGAATGTTTATTTCTAGTGTCGTACACACGCGGAACAGTTGCTGTAATCATTTCTCTGTCTCAGTGGTTTGGTGTACATACAATCAACGTCAATTACTTCTAGTTTAGCTTTTATTTTTGTAGACTTAGAGATGGAAGTGATTGAACTAAATTACATGAACGTTTGGCTCATGTATGGTCATGCGCAGCGCAAGTGACTATTGCTACCTGCCAGTGGTTGATGGGAAAATGCACTATTACTGAAGTGGAGCTTGCAGATGGTTCAAAAATTCCGAGTGGGGTGAGTCCTACGTCACGAGTAGATCTTGGCGGTGTGCACTTTCAGTTTCAGAAAGGGATTTTGCACTCTTTCTGCACAAAGATCTTGTAGATTATTAAAATTCTGCTTTGTAACCATAGCAATAAATTTGCACGTCCTCTTGTTTATCACCTAAGATATTTTCTTTAGCCATATGTTTGTGCATGTAGGTGCTGGTGCAGAAATGCAAGTATCTTGACGAAACAAAGTGTGCAGGCATCTGCATCCACACATGCAAGCTTCCTACTCAGGTACTTCGGCATAATCATAGATCAGAGTGACGTTGTAATGGTTTTTGAGGGTTTCACCGCCTCATTTTATTGCACATCGTTTACTTTCTGCCGCTTGATTTTTTCCTTGGCAAGTTTTCACGAAATTGGGTTATGGAACAGGCTTTCATGAACGGAGACATGGGAGTGCGTTTAACTATGGAACCCAACTATGAGAATTTCAGCTGCCAGGTGATTTGCAAAACCAAAACTAGTATACACACTTCCACAAAGTTAATTGTAAATTTTGGAGGATTTTAATTTTCGTATAAGAAATTTGTGAACTTGGTGTTACTGACTGAATACATTATGCTTGCAGTTCAATTTTGGTGTTGACCCCCCTCCAGCAGCCGAGGACCCAGCTTTGAAAACTCCTTGCCTCGCTGTTTGCCCTACTGCTGCATCAAGGGGAAGCATTAGAGGCGTTCCTATAGAGTCACAATGTCCTCAGGTGGCTGATTAACCTCCCTACCGTCTCTCTCTCTCTCTCTCTCTCTCTCTCTCTCACACACACATATATATATATATATATATAATTTTCTGTCTGTGTGATTTTTAAGTACCGGCAAGCACGTCCATCTGTGAATTGTCATGTTATGAAGGATTTTGAATGTTTCTAAAGCTTGCCGTGTATAGTATGTCAAAAGTTTTCTTGTCCAACGTCTTCTGAGGTTCTGATCTCCTGCTGCCAGGTTGAGGCGAATGTCTGAAGCGAAATACTCTGTTTCAGGGCATGCATCATCAGTATTTGCGCTAACGCAGCAACTGGTAAATCTGTAGGTTGGAATGTAGTATCGCAATACAGTTAAACAGATGGGCACTGATTTAGTGATTATTTGATACTTGTACCATGTCTTTGTTTCTCTTTGTCAAAATAGAGAACAATCGAGGTCTATGCTTCTCTTTTTCTATACCTATTTTACAGTAATGCCGAAGTTAGGATGACCGATGGGTTAGTGCTCGTTTTGAGGTGTGACATTCCAATCTTTCATTATCGCATGTATTTACTTATTATCAATTACAGGTTGATTTGGTCTGCAATCCATCGTTTATTATACAACATCAGCAACTTGGAGGAAGTGGTTCATGGAAAAATACAAGCCTGCCTACATTTGTGAAGATGCAACATCAAGCTGTTCCACATTTACAAGAACCTAACTGGTTAATGTACTAGTGCTTTCACGTAGAGAACTACTGTAGTTTAAACAAAGTGTGCTTTATTTTATTCTTTTCTTTTCTTCTGTATTTGGTATTTGGTATTTTGCAGAGCCTTACTGAATGTGGTAGGCGGAGTAAGATCGCAATTGATTTGAGGGAAAATATCATATGTACCCCTGAAATATGTTGAAATATCAAATATACCCCTCAATTTTGTGATAATTGCAAATCAACCCTTGAGCTTTATAAGATATAACCTTATTCCCATTATTCCCATTCCCATTTTAGGTGAATCCGGGGCCCAAACTGTGTGCCGCGTACAAGTTGGGCCCCAGATTTTTTGTACAAGTTGGGCCTTCTCACGAACCGAACCTCGTCGCCCCCGCTGCCGCCTCCATCGCTGTGTCCCATTCGTTACTTACGCTTGGCTCTGCTGCTTCCAACTGCTCGGCTATTGGGTCCGCTCAACACCAGTTCGCAATGCAGACAGCCACCTGCAATGATTGTCTGCTTGACTAGGCTTGCGCTTGCTCAAGCTTGAGCTCATGGAAGAGCAGTATCGGATTGGAGGCTGTATCACTCATGGAACCAAGCAGAATAGACTGCCCTCTCTGTCTTTGACATTGCCCCACTCTAATCTTCTCCTCTTGTGTTGCGGTACCAGCCAACACTCGTCCGCATTCTTGTCTATCGCTCTCTAAAAGGTACCTCTCCTTGCTCTCGTTTCACTTCTACCGCCCCCGGCGTCTCTTTTACACGGTCATTGCTGTAGGGCACGTGGTGCAGATTGTATTTTTGATCGAAGCACCGCTTTATTGAGTCAAGAGATATCGTTACATTGCTGGTATCACGTTTATACAGTGACATTGACCCTGGTTTAACATGAGGTGTGGTAATCCGCATTAATCGCTCCGACCCTGATCTTCCTCATCATGATAAGCAAGACAGTTGGCATAGTCGACGTCACTAGTCTTCATACATCTACAGGAGCATTTTTGCTCGTTCATTTCTAACACCTCTCGAGCATACTTGCTTCTTGAGACATGTTGCGCCGTAGAGCTAGGACTACCAACTCCATTGGAGAGCTTCGTCGACAGTCAGAGCTTTTGACAACAGTATTTTTTGAGCTTCTTTAATTCTAAGCTAATTTTGTACATTTGAATTGTTTATAATAAATCCTAACAAAACTTAAGTGCCTCCTCTGTGTCCTTGTTTAGTGGCAAGTTCTCCTACTCGGAATCTAGTTGCTCGTAGGTGCACTTCGATTTGTCTACGACACTGTTCTTCAGCGCACAGGAGCTCTTCTCGACAATCAACAAAAGACTGAAGATGTCTCTGAACAGACTTCTTCTACAGCAGATATCGTCTCTTCAAGTCGCAGCCGCGAGCAGCAAGGTTTTGTTATGTACAATCCTTCTTTCTCCACCCTGTTCCTTCCACTTCCCGATCAACTTGTGCTTGATTAGGTTCTTCCACGGTTGTATGCTATCAATAATTTGTTCCTACTATTCAGGCTACAGTCTTTGAACAAACAATTGAGGTGGTTAGTGGAATCCTTGAGCAAGTGGGCAGTTGCAGGGTCTGTGAAGATTGATACTCCAGGTTTCATAGTTTCCATTAAATCCTGTGAGAAATGCTGGACTCTGAGAAATGTGATGTTGATTTTACCTCTATACTAACGTTTATAACACATGCGAGATAGTGTGGACTTAGCCATGGAAGACATTTCGCCGTTTCAAGGCGTCCACCTGCATCACATCGCTCGTGAAACCTCTGACGTACATTGTCTGTTGGATTTTTATCAGCAACTACCTTGTCTCCAAATATGCGATTTTGTTATGCTTTACTTCACCTACAATTTGTGTCGACAATTTCCATTATTAAATCAGCGTTCTTTTAGGTAGAATAGAGACCGAGATTGTTGAGTTGGTAAGCTTATTTGTCTAATTGTAGTAACAATTCAAAGTATAAGTCACTTGCAAATCGTCGAGTGCTACGCGTCTTTAGATTGCTATCTTGTCCTAATCCAACTACACAAGTTACATCTCTTGAACTCTAAAAGTCTGGTTCATGATTCGTAGGTGTTTGGATTTAAAAAACTGGAAGCATCTCAATTATTTGGAGATTTCCACGTCACATGGCTGCATTTGTCGCCAATCTATTCACTCCATGTGGTGGAGAGAGACCCCAAGTTGCGGTTGCTAGAGAGCCCTTTTGTGGTACCCAGTGACGCCAAGTATGTGACTTCCTGCTTATTCTGATCTATGGGTGCTGTATGTGAGAGCCTTTGAAGTAATCTCACTTGTTTACAGTATAAGATTAAGGTGTTTCTAATTACAAATGCTAGATTGTGACCATAGAATTCATTTATTTTTGGTACCATTTTATATAAATTGGAAAACTTACTTGAGTTTTAGTTAATGACTTCTTTGCCTAATGCAGTGTTGATGTTTCTGCTTTATGGCCGGGACCTCACTTGTCTTTTTGAGTATCTGATTATAATGCTGCCATCAATACCCTGAAGGTACTTACACTTCCACGGTTTGCTCTTGCTTCTGTATCTGAGAATGTGAAGTTTTAGTAAATTCAACTGGACAGTTCGTTTTGTTGCTCGTTCTTAAAACTGAGGTTGCCACAATGAAGATCTTTACGGTGCTAAAGATTGCAGGATATTATGTGCTGTGTTGTTTCATTTGTAACAAGTTATCCTTTTAGCGCAGGCAAAAGATATTAAATACTTTGAGAACTCAGCAAGAAGGAAAAATTAAGCAATGTTTCTTCTTTGATCCTGATGGTAAGCTCCTGGTTCCATTCTTAGGAAAATACTTTCTCGCTGATGCAACTCACTAAGTCGTAACACTTGCGGAAAGAATACAATAATATTAAGTGAGTCTCAATTGATCTATCCTTAGGACCTGAGGGGATAATCGTTTCGGTGTTCTGGTTCAGGAAATTCCATTTTCTATGATAAAATTGAACTCAAAAACATCTGTTGTTTCCTTAGAAGATTTACTGATAGTCGACTCTAATATACCAATGACGCATCTATTTAGATTCTGTTATCATGTGGAGGAGGGATTAATTTTCTGGGACCTACCTAATCACATAATGAGGGTATGCCTTTTGCCCAATTTACCCTACTTAAACGCTCAAAATTCCCACAGTGATTTAGAGGCAATATTGTAATAGAATTGAACTAACTGCAACTAGGACAAATATTGGTTGCAGGGAATGGTTTGGAGATTGGTAACTGGCCGACGCCCACATAAACTACGCTTGAGAACCATTCAAGACGGTTGGCAGAATTTTTGCCGGTAAATTAGATCAAAGCCTTAGCTCATGCTTGAAGAGAAGCTGCGTTAAAGATTAGATGATCTAGTATTTCTATAATCAAAGGTGAGAGATTAATGTTTCAATATTCCACATTTTGAGCTAAATTAGGAGTTTTGAATTTCTATGTAATTATGTTTGTTTATGAAGTTGGTGAATAAAATATGCATAGAAATAAATGTATATGTTTTAATCGATGAAAATCACGTATCATTTCCTGCTTTTAGTTTGATGCAAACGTATTGAGTTCACAGTCACTTGTCTCTATTAATCAACTTGACTATAATGAACTTTTTAGCAGCTATGTTAATTGCTTTGTTTATATTCGTTATTCAAATGTACAGTGCAATTTCGTGGATCTCCACAGCCACCGCCCATTGAATGTTCCCATCCACTACTGGATTCTAATGAAACTAGTATGATCAGACTTTACCTTCCATGTTTGAGTCACATACAAACCACAGTACTTTTTATAAATCAATTTGGTTGATTCTTATGAATCATGACTATGATTTGTAAGTGAAAGGTTAATTGCAAGACTTATTTGTGATACTAAAAATACCATAATCATGCCAATTATGAAAACCAAAGAGAACCAAATTACTTATGCCAAAGATCAATAATTTTATTAATTGGTTAGGGCATAATAAAGTCTACAAAGGAGATATTGTGTCTATTTTCTTTCACTATTACATCAATGTCCAATGATAATTTGCCAATAGAGATGCATTTGGCAGATACTAAGTAGATATAAGTTGGGTTGGAAATTGCCACAATTCAAATGCCCTGTAGAAGCACATGATATAATCATCTCCTTCATCTAAATGACATTAGTTTATAAGATCCTATCTACAAAAATAGTGATGATACTTTGTTGCACCTCTAGACTACTCAAGTATTTGGAAAGAAGAAATATTAGCTTAATTTACACAACCTCTTAATGAAGGCCAATAAAAATAGATGTCATCAATAGTAGTTAAAATGATTGCCGCCACCTCTACCTTTCTTTCCACCTTGACTACCACCATAACCACCACCTCTTCTTCTAAAGCCTCTTCCACTTCTACCTCTTCTTCCACCAAAACTTTTGTCTTCACTACCACTACCGTCAAGCTTTACTTGCAACTCTAGTTAAGCATCTAAGACTTTGATTGTGAAGTTTTCACTTTCTTGTTCATCTATAAATTCCTCTATATTTTTTGATGGAATGTCAAATACTACTATCTTCCCATCAATAGTAAGATTCATATGCCTAACTTTGTTGATAGTGATTTTAGGCAAGAACTTTTGTAAACAATTGAATGCATACATAGAAGAATATATTGATGTATTTACCTTGAGGGTTAAGATGGTAGAATTGTCATGCAAAGTAAGCAAAGACCTTCTCTTTAACTCTGTTTGACCTGAAATTTTAGCAATGGCCTTAATAAGGACGTCCAGAATGGGCAAACCACTGTTCTCTATAAGACCTTTAGTTGCTTGACAAAATAAGGGTACCACAATATTGGATATAACAAGCATGCTACCTATTATTGTATTGTCACTAGCCTTTGAAATGTCTAGGGGTTCAAGGGCAATAATTCATTCAAACTTAAATCCTGCCTTTTGTTCAATTAGAAGAGCCATATACTCTTTCTTCCAATTCAAAAACAACAGAGAAACACCAATATTTTTAGCTATTTTTGTCTATCCAAACCGGTGAATTTAGATTATTGCATCACGAGGAGGCTCACGCTACAGAAGAAACATAGCATATTGATTAAACAGCCAATGTTGAATCTCTAATAGGTGGGATTTGATGTAAGTAAAATCATAGTCATTAAATGAGACAAATCAAATAATTGAATCATCAATTGTACATTGTTTATGTCCAATACTCTAGCAGCCATATCAGTTGCAACAA